ACAGAGAGAGAGACAGAGAGAGAGACCGAGACAGAGGGAGAGACAGAGACAGAGGGAGAGACCGAGACAGAGGGAGAGACCGAGACAGAGACAGAGGGAGAGACAGAGACAGAGGGAGAGAGAGGGAGAGAGGGAGAGAGAGACAGAGAATATGCAAGCAAATACAAATAATAAAATAATCAAAAAAGACAAAAAAAAAAATGCAGTAAAAAAATTTAAATGATCAAACATACAAATTAATTAGGGATGCACGATATTCGATTTCTGCCGACATCCGATATGCAAACATTTTTCAAATCATTTTGGCTGATAGTTGGTGCAGATGCCGATATATATTTCCTTTTGTTTTGAAACAACACTAAGTCTTCTTAGAGATTATATACAAATTATTTTTAACTTTGGTTATTTGAGCAAAAACTTATTTGTTATAATTAATAAACACTATCAAAGTTATTATTTTTTTTTTTTATGAGTACATTGAAAGCTTAGAAAATAACTATAATAAAATCAATCTCCCCATTTTTTTCTTTTCTTTTTTCCAGAGATGCAGTTAAAACTTTAACATTTTATTTGTGGATTTAATATTAACAGATGATCTAAAAGCAAAAGAGCTGTAAACATTCTAACAAATCTTTTAGAGCTCCTTGTATTTAAGGTTTCAGAATCCATTTGAAAAAAATACATATTAATGAATAAATCTGTATATATTAAATTTAATTTGCAAGTGTCATGTTTGTGATTTTTATTGTAAGCTATAACTTCTGACCTTTAAATCAAAACAGACGTGTGATTTTATGACATCGGTAATGCTTTATTTATTCAGAAACAGAAGTATCTTAATGTTATGCATTTTAATTTCATTTTATTACATAAATAAACAAATAAATAAAAGGCCTTACCGTGCAGGCATTAGGACCCGGGGGAGGCTGTTGCTGCCGCTGCATGCGCTACTACGTACCTTCTCAAATTAAATGAGGCGATCCAAAGCAGTGAATTGAATCATCATCATCTAATCATCAGGCAAAAGTTTGCTTCAAGAATGAACACACTGCTGACGTGATCTTATTGCTAGCACACCCTGAGCTCATGTGAGCTATGCGTCTTATCGGCAAAATTGTTCATATGCAGCCGATGCTGATGTTTACATTTTAAGCCTTTATCGGCCGATTGCGATAACGTTCCAATAATATCGTGCATCCCTAAAATTAATAAACTAAAAAAAAAAATATATATATATATATATATATATATATAAAATATAAAAACATAAATAAACAAAAATAAATTAATAATAATAAAAATTAAATTTAAAAAATCATAAAAGTAATAAGATAAATCAAATTATAAATAAAAGCAAAAGTCTAAAATAAAACAACAATAATAATAAAAATAAAATAAAAGTACAATAAAGCAAACAACAAAAGTTAATAATAAAAGTAAATTATAAATAATATATGCAGAAACCCTCCCCCTATAAAACACATTTTTATACGTGTAAAACACATTTGTGACCCTGGACCACAAAACCAGTCATAAGGGACAATTTTACGAAATTGAGATTCAAAGCTGAACAAATAATCTTTCCATTGATGTATGGTTTGTAAGGATCGGACAATATTTGAAAATCTGGAATCTGAGGGTGCAAAAAAAATCTAAATATTGAGAAAATCATCTTTAAAGTTGTTCACATGAAGTTCTTAGCAATGCATATTACTGAACAAAAATGAAGTTTTGATATATTTACGGTAGGAAACTTACTAAATATCTTCATGGAACATGATCTTTACTTAATATCCTAATGATTTTTGGCATAAAAGAGAAATGTATAATTGTGACCCATACAATGTATTGTTGGCTATTGCTACAAATATCCCCCAGCGACTTAACACTGCTTTTGTGCTCCAGGCTCACATTTACATTTACAGCATTTTCACACTTACATTTTCAAGGGTAGTGAAAAAATGTTTTGCTCTTACCTGCACGTTCGCCTTTTAAAGTGTCCCAAACATTGCAATTGAAGTCGTCGTATCCGGCCAGCAGGAGGCGTCCACTCTTGGAGAAGGCCACGGAGGTGATGCCGCAGATGATGTTGTCGTGAGAATACATCATGAGCTCCTGATCCGCGCGCAGATCAAACAGCCTGCAGGTGGCGTCGTCTGAACCCGTTGTGAAGGCATTTCCATTCGGAAAGAACTGCGAGAGTAAACAACCGAACTCAATACAACTGCCCATGTAGAGGAGCTTCTAGGACACAATAAACACCGCCCGATTTAAACAGCAAGCGTGATTTTAAAGGGGTCCTATTATGCTTTCCACTTTAGTTCGTCTGTAATGTTATTTGATTTTGACGCAATATTTACACTGAAGCTCGCAGGTGGCTATGGTAAGAGGCATGATATTTCCCGACCAGGCGTCGAGTGGAGCCAATCACAGCTCACACTGGCCCAGCTAACCAATCACAGCACACACTGGCCCAGCTAACCAATCACAGCACACACTGGCCCAGCTAACCAATCACAGCACACACTGGCCCAGCTAACCAATCACAACAGTTTCGTATTTCAGAAGGCGGGCCTTCAATTGATTCAGGAACTATTCGAGCCGTTCATGCCAGACTGGGGAGAGAGGTGTTGTAATAATGTAAAATATGTGAAAAATAATGTGTTTTTCGAACAACCTAGTATGAGAGCCTGTTCTAGTTAGGGATGTGCGGGTCTAGTCGACTAAACGGTACAGCTCCTACTAGTCGACACTGAAAACAATAGTCGATTACATGACAGGGGAAAAAAAAAAAGGGGGGAAAGAAAAACATGATTTTATCATTCAAATTACCATCATTTTAACATTGCATTTAAAACATTTTAAATAACAAGATAAAATAAAACGTTTGAAAAATAATACATTATTTAAAAAAGCTTATCTGGGCAGAAACGACATTTTTACCTCAAACCTCACATGCGTTTTCTTCGTGTCGGTTGCGGCGAGTTCAAAAACGACCAAAGATGAGAGGGTGAGGGATTATTTTGAATTAGTTTACTCAAAACTTTTCTGTTTCCTTCTGTGTAATGTCAAATTGTCTTACAATAACTCTACTGGAGCGATGCGTAATCATATTCAATACAGGCACGTAGGAGTTAGCTTAGAGGCTAGCCAAAGCCAGCAAATGTCAATCACGTCATTCACTACAACCCGCCGGTCATCAGCACGTTCTGATGATTTGTGCTACCCTGTCAGATTTTGCTACCTCCCATTAAAACAGATGGCAGCATAATTCGATAGCGAAAAGTGCTACCTATCAGATTTTCCTTCCAGCATGATATTAATATTAACATGTACACCCCCCCCAAACCTAACCTTACAGTAGGATAAGTCTGTTCCTCTAACGAAGACCCACTTCGGTGCTGGTGCGGGATGTCCAGGCGCTTTCTGCTCTATCGGCTTGCTTTTCGTTATCTCTGCGTGCCTGCGACTTCAGTTCCTGCCGAGCGTGTTTTTTCAAGTGCAGGAATTTTATTGTTAATCGCCTCAGGTCCCGTCTTTCACCAGACCACGCTGATCATTTCACTGAACAAATAACGCATGATCTGAGTAAGTAAAATGTGCATTGTTGCATTTTGTTTTTAGACGATATAGCTTACGTCTATGTAAGCTAAAAATATGTTTTTAAAAGCCGTTTTAATGCTATTTCTTGATAAACCTTCCTATTTTTTTTACTTGTGTTTTAATATATTGGCTAACGTTATATGAAGAATTCTGTCAGGCTATTGATTGATTTTCCATTGTTCTGCATTTCCCCAGCTGATTTGAATAAATAAGCTATGCTTTGATCGACGTTGAGTGTATGCTCTTCTTTTTTTTTTCTTTTTAACGACCACCTAAAATAAAATGATGATAATGCGAGGCAAGTGTGTGGCAAGTGGAATTCATTGAGGGATTTGACAGTGTGATTCAAAGATTAAGTATTTCAAATATAGGATATTATATATGCTACACGCACAGACAGAGGGGTTTTTTTCTTACCATCTTTTGGGGGTTTCTTGCTTTTAGACTAGTCGGATACAACACTTTTGTTTAAACAACAGATTCAAATTAATCGTTGCGCACATCCCTAGTTCTTGTACACCCCCAAAACAAAATCAAGACTTTGTAAAAGAGCATAATAGGATCCCTTTAAAAGTCGATCGAAATACTTACGCAGACAGCATTTATATCCGAGACGTGGCCAGTGAAGGACTGCCTGCACATCCCATCTCTGATGTCCCACAGTTTGGCAGAAGCATCGCAGGCTCCTGACACGAACGTCTTTAAGTCGGGACTGACCGATAGACTCATGACATCACCCGTGTGTCCCGTGAAACTGGTGGTCTGCTGGCCCGTCTCAATGTCCCACAATGCACTGAAGAAGCAAAGTTAAACATGGAGTCCATTTCATTTCATAAAAGAAAATAAATGATCAAATATACAATTAAAAAAAAAATTATGATTTTTAAATAATCAATTTCAAACAGGAAAAATTAAACTAAAATATGTACATGCCAAATAAAGTTAACACCGCATACACCATTTATCCCTTGACATACTAATGCTACACAGTAATCAGTTTAATTATTATTATTGTATGTAACATTAACTCACCATGTGGTGTCACCAGAGCTGGTGATGATCTGATTGTCATCAAGAAAACGACAGCAAGACAGATAGCCTACAGAATCATTAATAAAAAAATCATCATTTATGTCTTTCATTGATTAATTATATATTGTATGAAATGCCATACAGAAAGAACTGTTTTAGAGCAGGGTTTCCCAAACTGAGGTTTGTGAGTTAGCTAAGGTCATAATATTTAGTTAATTAATACTTTATTAAATCATAATGTCAAATGTAAATACATAATTATGTTTACATATAATCTAAAATACAGAATTGTATTAAAACAATTTCTGGTCAAAAGTTTGGAACAATTAGAATGTTATAATGTTTTTGAAAAGTCTCTTCTGCTCATCAAGGCTGCATTTATTTAAAATGTCAGTAATATTGTGATACTTAAAATAACCATTTTCTATTTAAATATATTTTATAATGTAATTTATTCCTATGATAAAGCTGAGTTTTCAAAAATAAATAAATAACCAGTAGTGGATATATTATTTAACATCAATAATATTATTACAATAAAAACAGTAAAAATAAAACACTTTAAATATTTTATTTGTTTACCTGCATAAACCGGCATCAGAGAACCGAGAATACGCAAATGTGTTGTTAAATTATTGAAAAATTTACTTTAAATCTCAGTAAACATTTCAGGTCAAAGGGGTTCTGCTGATTAATCCCCGTTATGGAGGAAGTACTAGGTAATATTACCGAAGAGATAAATAAAAGTGACTCTACCTGTGTGTCCAGCCAGTTCTCGGTTGACCCTGACGTTGCCCTCGCGGGTTTTAAGGCTGTAGGTGGAGCAGATGTTGTCTAGGCCTCCGCAGGCCACGTAGTTCCCCGACGGGGCGTAGGCACAGGTCATGACCCAGGAGGAGCGCAGGGGAATAGCGTGCATCTGCCGGACAGAGTTAAAAACATACAGCTTACTTCAGCAATATAACAAGCTAAAGCTGAAGATTAAAAGAAAACTGTAAAAGTGATAACCTTTTACCTTAAAAGAATAGTTCATCCAAAAATTGTAACTTGCTAAAAAAATGTGCTCACCCTCAGGCAATCCAGGATTAGGATGAGTTTGTTTCGTCATCAGGTTTGGAGAAATGTAGCATTGCATCACTTGCTCTGCAGTGAATGGGTGCCGTCAGAATGAGAGTCCAAACAGCTGATAAAAACATCACAATAATCCACAGCACTCCAGTCCATCAGTTAACATCTGGAGAAGACAAAAGCTGAAACAAATCCAGCATTAAGACGTTTGTAACTTCAAACCGTTGCTTCCGGCTGAAATCAATAATCCATAATAACGCTTCCTCCAGTGAAAAAGTGCGTCTCCTGTTGTCTCTCAAATCAAAATCCAGCCACATATGTGTTTAGAGCTGTTTAAACGCTGCTTGGTCGGTGCAGATTTCTCTCCTGATTCAGACCAGACACTTTTTCACCGGAGGAAGCGTTATTATGGACTTGAATATTAGTTAAAAATGTCTTAATGCTGGATTAGTTTCAGCTTTTGTCTTCTCCAGATGTTAACTGATGGACTGGAGTGCTGTGGATTACTGTGATGTTTTTATCAGCTGTTTGGACTCTCATTCTGACGGCACCCATTCCATTGCGGAGACACTGATGCAATGCTACATTTCTCCAGATCTGATGAAGAAACAAACTCATCCTAATCTTGGATGGCCTGAGGGGAGCACATTTTCAGTACATTTGAACTATTCCCTTACAGAGCATGTTATACCTGATTCAACCCATGAAAATTATCTTTGTTTGTATAAATGAATGTATTTAGGTCGGTGATGATAATTAACATTTTTAATTTGAATAAAACAATGTTATAATTTTTTTCCCCAGTGTACACGGCTCTAGCATCTCATTACCTTGTTGGTTGTATAACCATCCCATATGATGAGTTTGCCATCTTGGGAGGCACTGACAAGTAACCTGAAAAAAGGCACAGAAATGAGAAATACCCACACAGCAGCCGATCTATTTTTCAATCAACGAAATGTAATTAATATGGGACACAGATGGGATTTGAGCATCATGGTGGGAAAGGCCTTATTACAGCTCCACGGAAAACGAACACCAGGGTCCCAAGCGTTATTTCATGAAATATTAATCACACAGTTGAAAGGAGACCAGCCCAGAGTGTTTAAAGCAGTTTTTTGTATCTAAAAGCAATCGTGATAGTTAGAGACCCTCCAATCAAACACACCTGGAGTCACTGCCCCAGTGCATGGCGTAGATTTTGGCGAGATGACCTCTGAGCGTGCGTCTCGTTCTCATCTGTATCCGTCCCACTGAGTCCAGGCTCGCGGTCATCTGCCATATGAGCCCAAAACAGCAAGAGATTAAAGATCACACAACATCATCAGTTCCCATTAGAGATGTCTTCTAGTCCAATGTGTAGAGCTGCCATCAGTACAGTTAGCAAGCTCAGCATCATCTTATATAGCATTTCATGTGCGTTTAGCTCATTTATACAATATTTACTCAATTCACTAAAAAGGCAGGGGAAAAAAAAGTTTTCTGGCAAAATCTTGATTGGCAAAAAAGGCCTAATATTACATAATTTGATGATTTCAAGTTCAAAAATATCAAAACCTTTCACAGTTTTTTTTCACAAAAACCTAATTGTGTGTGTGTGTAAAATATTAAGATACCATTTAAATTCTCAGTTTCTCTGGATTTACTAGGTATGGGTTGGAGTAAAATGTTAATATTTGTTTTATACTATCTGATAACATTTCCAAATGTATTTTTTTCAGAGAATGAGAATTAGTCAAAATAACAAATGTTTTCGTTTGTTGTGATTGAGAATCAGGGTTATATTTCACCAAATACTGATTTCTTAACTCTTCTGAAGTTAAAACATTGGTATTGTTTTGTCTAAAAATAATATAAACATGGCATCATTTTTTGTTATTTTGACCAGGTGTCATTTTATGCAAAAAAAGCTCTAGATGACCACATTTTTATTAAAAATTTGGAAGAAATGTCATCAACAGTTTACAGAATAAAACAAAAAATGATGTTTTACATAAACATTTAACTATAAATCAAAATTCCAGAGAAACTGAGAATTTTCAAGTGGTCTCTTATTTTTTTTTTAATAGCTGTGTAAACGTAATTATCAGCTTTAATGCACAAAATAACAAAAGCAGTCAAATGTCAAAAGTTGTGTTTTCAAGATATTTTTTCAGAGAATGAGAATTAGTCAAAATAACAAATGTTTTCGTTTGTTGTGATTGAGAATCAGGGTTATATTTCACCAAATACTGATTTCTTAACTCTTCTGAAGTTAAAACATTGGTATTGTTTTGTCTAAAAATTAATATAAACATGGCATCATTTTTTGTTATTTTGACCAGGTGTCATTTTATGCAAAAAAAGCTCTAGATGACCACATTTTTATTTAAAATTTGGAAGAAATGTCATCAACAGTTTACAGAATAAAACAAAAAATGATGTTTTACATAAACACTTAACTATAAATCAAAATTCCAGAGAAACTGAGAATTTTCAAGTGGTCTCTTTTTTTTTTTTTAATAGCTGTGTAAACGTAATTATCAGCTTTAATGCACAAAATAACAAAAGCAGTCAAATGTCAAAAGTTGTGTTTTCAAGATAAAAAATTCTAAATGTGTTGTTTAACTTACAATCTACAAAAGAGTGGAAAAATATTCTCCATTTAAAGTTAAAGAATAAATTATAGATTTATACAAAGTTTGTTTTAATGACAAAAATAAGTATTAAAATTGTACATTTAACTTACAATCTGCAAAGTAAGTTTGTCTAAATACTCCATTTAATGTCAAAGAACAGCTTTTTTTTCTCCACAAAATCTGTTATCTTTCTGTGGCTGTTTGGATTCAGTGAAACACATTCCACAGATGTAGCAGAAAACATCTGTTAGTTTGCATTTTCTTCAGTCATTGGCCATAATCAGGATTATGCATAAAATAACGTCTTCAAAATCATTCATACAAGTGAAAATGGGCTGATAATTGAACAAATAGTTGTATTCTGGCTCAGATGAAGACATGAATCATGTCTTTGTGGTGCTTTTCTCCTGATTGAGTGAAAATACAAGACTTCCTCACCTTACAAATGGCTGTCAAAAACAATGCAACAAAATGCATCAAATTTAGTGAAAAAGTGTGATGTGCTTGAGCAAAACCGTCACTAATTTTGGTATAAGCAGCTCAAAATTAGTAAGAAACGACTATTGGATTGTATTTAGCAAATGTGATGCATGACGGTGCAATCATTAATGATTTTTGTTTCGTACCTGCGAAAGTGTGGAGTCACTGCAGGCTTTTCTAGCATCCTGAAAAACAACAACAACAAATGCAATTCATGACAAAACTTGCCAATCTAAATAAACAGCACAGGAAGTGTACAGTTTACATAGATGTCCTCTCATATGAACGCTTCCTTTTGTTGCATGTCGGTCCAAACACTTACCCGGATCTGGTTGCGAAGCTGTTCCGCTTCCTGTCGCAACTGTTCCAACTCACTCATTGTTCCTGTTTGACCGGCACCCGAGACGACAACGTGCTGGACCTGCAATCATGCATCGTACAATGACATCATTCCTACATTGCATGCACTCACCCATTCAATCAAACACTGCACTAGTGATGCATGCAATCATGAAATCCCTTAAAATGCAATTACAAATGGACCAGCTTCCTTTGACCAAATCCATTCCAGCAACTTTAATTACAGGCACAGACTGATCTGAGAGCAGTGGGAAATTACTCTGAGCTCAAAGGGTCTTCAAAACACCACCAACTGCTGCCAAATGCCACCCATATGTTCACTGACCTTTCCGTCAAATCAGGCGTCTGTCCGCGTCTCTGATGTTTCGCTCACCTTTGATTCCACATTAATGCGTTTTAATAGTTAAAAGATCTACTACAAACTCAAACAGCGTCTGTGAGTTTTCAGTAACTAGGTTATTAGAGAAGTAAATACTAGACTGATGGTTTTGGTTACCAGTCCAGCGTCTCTCATACCAAGGGTGTCATTTGACAGAACTTAAACTGGAGTTTAGTTAGCGGTCTATGACTATAAGCCAATAAACTTTTGATGAACTTTTACTTTGTGTCCAGCAAGTTGGAAAAACTCCAATGAAACTCCATCGAATGTCCAATAAAATAACTTGCCATGGATACAGTTAGCGAGTTAAGCATCACCTTCTATAGTATTTCAATGTGCATTAGCTCATTTACAGAATATTTACTCAAAAGTATATAGTATGTAAACAGGTTTTTTTTGACACTACCAAAAGTTTAGAACATTTAAGATTTCTTAAATGTTTTTGAAAGAAGTCTCTCCTGCACACCAAGGCTGCATTCATTTATTCTAAAGTACAGTAAAAATGGCGAAATATTATTATAATTTCAAATAGCAGTTTTCTATGTGAATCTATGTTAAAGTGTAATTTATTCCGGTGATGAAAAAGCTGAATTTTCAGCATCATTACTGCAGTCTTCAGTGTCACATGATCCTTCAAAAAAAATAGGCATTACCACATGGTTATTTAAAATGTTTTTTTTTTTAATCCATTGAATTTTCCATAAAAATAGCTAGATCATGAAATATACTGTTATCATGATATAAAATTACTCATACCATGATGCAAGTAATTGGTTATTCCGCCCAAACACTACCAGATCAACAACACCCTCCATATTTTTAATACCAAAACCATCATGATAAACTTCAGCAACGAGGAAACATTTAACAATAGACCTCATGTTTCGGTTTTAGCTTTTATGTAATGCGGAGTTCTTTTACAAGTGATTAGAGATTGAAAATGTTTCCTGAAAGTGTTACTCCTGTAAGTCTAGCATCAGTTTATCAATGTGACGAGATACATTTCTAATTCTATTTTAGGCCTTTTTTTGGGGGGGGGGGGGGGCGTGAGCTGATGAAATTGAAAAGCTAATCAGTAAATTACAAAAATGTCAAATGAAAATAAATCATTTTAAATTGAATTCAATCAAAATAAAATACCGTATTGTCCCGAATATAAGACAATGTTTTTTTCTTGGAAATACATCTGAAAAAACGCGGTCGTCTTATATTCAGGGTCTAGACTTTGACATGTCAATAATACACCCACAACAATAGGTGGCGCCAAATACGCATAAAACCAGTGTGCCATGAAATACGTAATGTAACGCGTGTTGTGAAGATCGCGAGTAAAAACTAAAGAGAAAGAAAAGCGTACAGCTGCATGAGTCGTGACGGTCACGTTAGCCTGATGCGACCAAACTCTCTTCGTGATTTTAAAACGTAAGACAGTACCCAGATCTGAAGACTACAGTAAGATTTAACTTCTACTGTTAATAAGATTTTGGTAGGCTACTATTAGACGGATAGCCTAAATGTCCTAATTCAGATGGGCTACCTGTTTTTTTAAAAATGTTTATGGTATGTCAAAAAGTGTATATTTTTTAAATGTGATTGTTGGTACATTTTACCAGTTTTTACCACACTTTCAAAACAAAAATTAAAATAGGAAAAATATGCAATATGAAAATAACTGAAGACAAAATGTGTTTTACTGAGAAAAAACAAGATTTGGTTTTTAAAAAGCCTTTTTCCAAAAGGTACATCTGGAAAAAGGGGTGTCGTCTAATAATCAGGGTCGTCTTATATTCAGGCCAATACGTACTTCCTAAAAAGATTATACATTTTATTTGTTTACTTGCATGTCACGCAACCATTAACCAACCTCTGAAGACCATTAACATGTGAATGTGTTCTTAAATTATTGAAATATTAACTTAAAATATCAGGAAAGATTTCAATTAATATTTTAGGCTGAAGGGGTTCCCTAATATATTAGATCAATATTTTAGTGTGTTCATTTGAATGTGTTCAAATGGATTTTCATGCACAAATAAAACACTAAAATCAACTCTTGAAAACCTTCAAGAGACATTTCTGAGATACACGAATGAGAACCTATATAGAATATATATATATATATATAGAACGTATTTATATATATATATATATATATGTACATGTATATGTGTGTGGCTGTACATTGTTTTTTTTTGGTGTTCGGCTTAGTGTTATGTTAGAATCATTATTATACTCATACCTTTTGTTCTTTTAATATTTTTGTTTTCATTTAAATGTTTAGTTTTGAAATGCTGTTGTATGCATTTGTCATTTTTATTTAATTTCTCTTATTTTCTTAAATGCGTGTATATATATATATATATATATATATGTAGTATTTATAGAGTTTTAGCTTTTAGTTTTAATTACTTTTTCTTATTTGTAAGTCGCTTTGGACAAAAGCGTCTGCTAAATGACTAAAAGTAAAGTAAAGTAAATTAGAGAGAGCACCTGTGTGCTTTTATCTAATTAGAAAACATAAATACAACTGAAAAGCAATTCCAGGAAGCAATTGTCTCATATTTGCCTGCTTGAAGAGGAACTCAATGATATTACACACAATCACAAATGATAATAAAATCTAACAGGTGTGTATATATATATATATATATATATATTTTTTAAAAAATGAGATCACCTACTAAATACTGAAATGATTCAGTTAAAATATAATGCATGCTAGACCATTCTAACCTTGCAAATAAGTTCAAATGAACCACTGTTAACCAACAATATGTACGATTATTGCATCAGAAGACTATATCAGAGCAAAACAGCATATCAGGCCCATAAACATCTAAATCATTAAAGCTAGCAGATATTAACATCTAAAAAACACTTAGGCTAAATCAAAACAGACTGAGATTTCAGAAAGGTAAAGTGAAAGTAAAACTATCAGCTCCTGCTCACACAATCTCAGCTATTGGTGTCCTTCACAAAATACGACTTTAAAAGTAATTGTCAACTTATCTGGAAGATATAACTTCACACGCATTCATCCAAGTAAGACTTTGATTCAAAAACAAGCGTTCGTGTTGACTACAGTAGCTACCTTGAGATTCAAAGACACGATACGACAACCCAGCTCAGATTTAAACACACTACCTTTCATTTATCACCTAGATATTGAACAACTTCGCCAAACTACCACTTTAGCTGTTTAGCTAGCGCGAGGAAACACTTAGCAAGTTAAAACCGTTAACATTCAAACCGAACTCTGCTGTCGATCGGGCCTGCTGTTGCCTCTCAACCACAACTAGCAGATTATAATTGAACTAATTAGCGGCTAAATCGAGATTCAATCCACCACTGACCCCCCCAAAAACAGTACAAACGAGTTTAAGTAAATCGCGAGGTATTTACGAGCAGGAAATAGACGAGAAAAGAGAAACGCGGCGGACGGTTGTTTTTTCCGCTCACCTGATCAGGCTAAGTTTGGGCAAAATCCGCTTCTTTCAGATCCCTTGCATGTTGATATGCGCACAGGTAAAGTTCAAAGCAGAATAATTCATTGGAAGTCAATTTTAAACACATTTAAAGGGCCACGCAAACCGAGAGGCAATTTTCGCCAGCTATCTCTTCACCACACCCATAAGGGAACCGGGAACATAGCAACAGGCGCGGCGTAGGGGGGAACCGACAAACCCCGCTTATCTACAACATGCTAAAATCACTGTATAAAAGCACTAATGTGATTTACATTAGTAAACATATGTATGATACTACGATAAACCTGCACATTGAGTGTTTTTCGCGTGAGCAGAGTCAGGACTGGTGTTGTTAGCGCGGTCGGGTTCCCCTACAGACGAATGGTTCAGTCCGTCCGCTGCTTCAACAAAGCGCCTGCGGGAGAAACAGGAAGCGTATCCGCTGCGTGTGTTTGCGTCTCGCGGGGAAGCTTGCATTGTTTTGGCTTATTAAAAGTTATATTTCTACTCGTGAGTGCTCGGAAACATTCATACGCTGTTCTCATTTAAAACTCGAATATCATTGACGTTGTTGTGCGGCTTTATTGGCATGTATTGTACTATGATAGACAGGCAGATCAACATTTTGTGTGCATCGTAATAATGTGCGCTGTGTACAGTAGGGCTGCACGATTTGGGGGAAAAAGACTAATTATGATTTTTCTGAGAAAAAAATGCGATTTAAAAAATTTTTTTTAATCCTTGTTTGTGTGGATGCCAGATGTGGACAAAATCGAGTGATTATGTCAGTATAGCTAATAGAATATTAATAATAATTACTATTATTATTACTACTACTAAATAAAAAGAGATTAAGAAATATTAATATTGGACTAAGGCTGCACAATTTGGCCAACAGATCAACATTTTGTGTGCATCGTAATAATGTGCGCTGTGTACAGTAGGGCTGCACGATTTGGGGGAAAAAGACTAATTATGATTTTTCTGAGAAAAAAATGCGATTTAAAAAATTTTTTTTAATCCTTGTTTGTGTGGATGCCAGATGTGGACAAAATCGAGTGATTATGTCAGTATAGCTAATAGAATATTAATAATAATTACTATTATTATTACTACTACTAAATAAAAAGAGATTAAGAAATATTAATATTGGACTAAGGCTGCACAATTTGGCCAACATGTTGTGATTATATTAATATGGCTATAAATAATAACAATAATAATTATTATTATTACTACACCTAAATAAAAATATTAGAATTACTAAATAAATTCAAAACAAGAAATATTAATATTGAAGAAAGGTTTAAATTTTGGCCAAAAATGTTGTGATTATATTAATATGGCTATAAATAATAATTATTATTATTACTACTACTGCTGCTAAATACTAATATTAGAATTACTAAATAAAATCAAAACAAGAAATATTAATATTGAAGAAAGTTTTAAATTTTGGGCCAAAAATGTTGTGATTATATTAATATGGCTATTAATAATAATAATTATTATTATTACTACACCTAAATAAAAATATTAGAATTACTAAATAAA